GGCGCGCTGGAGAGACGCAAAAGGTGCGAGATATAACGAGGCATGTAAACTTCTTAAGTCAAAACAAAACGAGTTTTTGCACTAGAGCTGAGATTTTACAGAGCAATGAGAACTACACAGAATGAAAAAGCAATCGACTGCTTTCTGTATGAACAATTAAGAAAGCTCCATTATTTTTCTGTCGTGCATTGAGAGCCAATTTCCCTAAGTTCAAAGAGTGATAGGTGCAAGTAAAAAGTCAATAAATCAGTGAGGCTATGGCATCAGTATGCCCTGATGAACTGTCACTCTCACCTGTAACTTCCTGGCTCTCCGTCAGTGGAGACGAGCGAAAGAGTGGGCCAGCCTTCTCAGTAACACATGGCGGTTGCGGTTGTGTGGGAAACGACCGCCTGCCCCCCCCCCCCCCCCTGCTACTTTTTGCTGCGCGCCCGCTGTTTCGTTCGCCTCTTCTAACCACCTTCTAGCACAGGCTACCTCACCTTATAAAACAGAGGCTCTCGAAACCAAGCTCTCCAGTTAGCAGCCGACCGTTTGCTGGACTGGGTTGCGAATTCAACGCTACAGTCACGTGAAGGTTCTTTCACTCCGAGATGAAAGACAACCGTGAAGAAAACTCCTGTGCCGACAACTATGAACACCACGTACTGAAAAAGGCATAAAACATATTAGAAAAATACTTAACGAACGCCTGAGTGAAAAGCATGTCAGCACCTTTTTTTAAACTTCAAAAGTAAATGGACTCTATCTGGTACAAGTTTTACAAATGCATACTTAAAAATGGCGACAACGGCGACGATTTGCAGATTAGTCACAAGATATAGATCGATGCCAGATTAACTTAGAAGTACGAACAACACTAAACCTGAATTTGAGGGATTGCTGGCCCAAATAGAATGTGTGGGACAGCTGAGGAATTGATGGCATTTTTTTAAGTTTTGGAAACCGCACAGTGGTCTAATGATCAGCGCCGCGAGCCTCGGGCTGGAAGCGTGAATGGTATCGTTTGTGATAAGTTCTTGGGCCAGGCAGAACTTCTTTCCCCTCAAGGGTGTAAATGAGTACCACAAGGTTGTCAGGGACACCCGAAAAAATATTATGGGGGGGGGGGGACGGGCACAAACGGCGTTCAGACGTCTCATTGTCAAGAAAACATCAAAGCAAGAGTTTGCTACGGACATCACAAAACTGTTCCGGGAAAAGACTGAAGACAAAGAAAAAACACACGAATCGAAAGGGTTCATAAATGCTTTCACAACCCCTTTGTCTTACAGGCCCCTAAGCATAAATTGAAGAAGACCGCTTCGAAAGTTTTCCAGGATAATTTACCGTGAAAGCAGTTGCATCTCCTGTCCCCAGCTGGTTTGAATCGCTGTTGACGTCACTTGTCTCCAAGAAAACCCAGGTGATAACAAAGACAAATATGTTGCATGAGCCGGTGGCTGCATATCTGTAGAAGAAATAATCGTATAACTATCATTCCTTGAGCACTGCGAAAAAAGAATTGCTTTAAAAGACAGCCATTTGGTTTACAACTTGACCGGCTTAAGCCTCCACATTCTTTCACAACATCCTCTCCACTCTCATCCCATATTTTCCAATGGCTCATTAGAAGAACCTGCAGCCTTCGGATGATCTGATGTCACTGATTATCGGAAACGACAGGTTTATTGGTTATTTTCTGTATGCTAATGAAAGAATCATTCGTGTGTCACTGGATAATCAGAAAGCGACAAATGTTTATCTGGGAGCGTGTTTGTTTACGCATTTGGCCGAATGACTGCCACAAAAGTAAACTAACGGGTGAGTGAACAACGCACTGGAACTCTTTTCAAAATCCAAAAGCCTTTGCAGAAAAGCAGTTTTTTTGTTTGTAGAATACCGTTTGAAAGCGAAGTCGAGAGTCAAGAAGCCTGCGAGCACGCCCTGTCCCAAATTTAATTCTCTATGTCTCGGTAGTATGGCGTTATCTTTTTCTATTTGCTAGTCCCCATCAGGAAACAGAAACGTGTTATCGCAGGTTACTATATGCTGAGTCGTCAGAGAGTCGGTAAATAAATAGTTTTCTTGCAAATCCCTACGCGTTCAGAAACTGGAATTAGACGCACGTTACCATTCTTTGATAATTGCTAGAACGGGGAAAATACCTTTAGAAACTGTGGTCCTGCGTTAGTGGGAAGTGTTATAATATAATTGGTTTTATCAGCTGAATCGGCCATCGGAAAGAGTTTCTAAGCCGACGTTTCGAGCGTCAGTCCTTCGTCAGAGCGAAGGATGACGCCTTCGTCAGGGCGAAGGACGCTCTGACGAAGGGCTAACGCTCGAAACGTTTGCTTAGGAATTCTTTCCTGTGGCCATTAACATATCATCAACTCAGTTGATAAAATCAAGTTGCTTGTTATGGCTTATACATTTCGTCGCGCGACTGAACCCATGATCAGTGAAAGGAACAGGAAACTAAAAGAAGAAGAAAAAAATAAAATTCAGGGTTTCCATAATTTTTTTCCGTGTTGTGATAGGCGGCTGTACTGTAAGACGAAACTTAGGCGGCGTGCCGGGATAAAACTTTTACAAGTGATCCTAATCCTACACGCACGCTGATCAGACGGTGATGAGAGGTCTTGCAGGTGGCCCGACCATTTTCACGTGTAAAACGTGTGCTTGTATTGAAGATCGCTCGATAATGATATGCAAGAGATGATCAATTGTTATTGATGATGATCAAGGTATTTTCGAAATTTTCTGTTTGAAACCGCATTTATAAACCTGTGTTATTAACTACAACCGAGTGTTTTTTCCTACCTTATTGCATTCAAACCACACTTCTCATGCTCATCGTCTGTGAGTTCTGGAATCAGGCTCAAATGTGATATCTGCGATGCCGCCCAGCCAAATTGAAAAATTACTATGAACGGTGTGTAGTAAATAAATTGCGCCCAATGTTCAGAGTTCTCGCAGCCTAAACAGGGGTTAAACACAAACGGGAAACTGTCGTCGTCCGTACTTGAAACGGCCTGTTTTGTCTGATTCGATTCCGACGAGAGGAGTGCACAAAGCGTCTGCTACTTGTCCGATCAACAATAGTGTTCCAGCGCTCGCGTTTGAAAATTTTATCACCTTGTGAAGATATATCAGGAGATAGGTGAACCACATTGAGGCACACAAATCATTGAGCACATGTCCCACTCCAAAACAAATTCGTGTTCGCCATGTAAGTGGTTGTCTTCTTTGATCCACAATTGCCCGATTTACTGATAGCACATGGCTTTGTTCGTCCGCCATTTTGCAAATTACGACAAAACCCAGTTGGATTTGTCTAAGGAAGAAGATTACAGATTGCTTGATGTGTTAAAATATATTCAATATCTTTTATCTATACCTCCTCTATTTTGTTTCAACTCCCACTGGAGAGTGAATTTTGGATGGTCGCGCAGCTAAATAAACTGTGTCACGCATTCTCCTACCAACGTAACGGCATAAAAAAAAAAAAAAAAAAAAAAAAAAAGAGTGCCAGATCACAAGTGTGAACGGTGACCCTCAAGTTTCAAGTCAATATCACACGATTGATAAAGTCATTTTAGAATAAACTATAGTTTGAGCTAAAAAAGGGGAATAGGGGATATGATTCATTTCAAAATTGGTGACAAATTGATTCAAAGCCGCAGAAAAAGTTTTTTCCTCACCAGTTCACGTTTGTGAACACCGCTACAAAAACTTGTGAATATCACGGGAAATATGAAATCATTATAATCAAGGTAAAGGCAGGTGACCAACAAGCCAGAAGTAAATAACCATTACAGCAAACGTTTGAAAACACCATGGCGGAAGTGAAATTCAGTAAGCCTATGGGCTCTTTTATGTAGCCAGTGCGCTCTGCTTTCTTCGCTCCTTCAAGACTACTTTTCTCTTAGAAAACTTTCGACAACAGATCAGAGAACACTTACATATACCGTGCATTCTGAGCGTGTGCACAATTCGTCAAAGCCCTCCCATACAGACGGGTCTATTCAGGAGGGTTCTGGTCTTTTCTCTTACAGCATTCAAAGATTTCAGGGATTTCTTTTCAGACCGTATCCCCCTCTACACTCTAATATCAGTATACATATTCTCCATACTGTTCTCTAAACATTTCCTAGGGTGCTGACAAGGAGAATTTGTCTAACAATCAAGAGCTTCTTTAGTTGGTGATCAGTTCCTTTATTCTCCTAACCATAATGTTTGATTCTGGGGTGATATGGTACGGAGAGATTAGATGTTAGACACTCTTAAGGGTTAAAGGGTTAATGCGCCTTTTCAGCGTAGCTATCTTCGTTCGAATACCTTGGTATACATCTTTTGCGCAAATATTTCATCTTGAATGCATCCCTTCTTGAAGATATCGCGAATCGCCTTCTCTTTTTTTCAAGTACGTACCCATCCGCTGAATTGTTTATTTATGCCAGATACGAGAAAGGGTTTGTTCGCTTCCTCCCTAGAATTCTAGTTCAGCCTTGGCGTTTTCAAATCGTGAGTGAGGCCGTGATGCTCATTAACTATAACGCCGTGATGAACAAACTTTTGCCGTTATGCTCACAAAGAGGGTCACTAGTTTCTCAGTTGAATTCTTGTATGGTAATACGGCGTTGAACTGAGTTGATTAATTGACTTATTTGAAGGTTTTGCCGTAAATTCACAAGCTTTTTACGTGGTGTTCACAAAATATTGCGGTGGCGAGTGCAAAAAATGTTTCTGTGCATAGTAAATCAATTTTCTCGTCAATCTCTAAATAAATTTTGTTTTTTTTTAATTCAATTCAAACACAGACGTGGCAGAATGTTTGAACTGCTAAAGAACGGGTAGATCTCCGAATTTGCGTGTACCACGGGCTCAGCCTCGTTCCAACGGGGTCTTGGTTCTTGGAGCAAAGGAGCTACTCTACACAATAAACATATTCTGATGAGGACGATTATTTACATCCTTTTAATCAAGATTTAATCATTCTTTCAACCCTCCATAAATCTTTTTAGTCTGCACAAATATATTTAGATTAAAACCATTGTACTTTTGAATCATTAACTATAACGCCGTGATGAACAAACTTTTGCCATATTCTGATGAGGACGATTATTTACATCCTTTTAATCAAGATTTAATCATTCTTTCAACCCTCCATTAATCTTTTTAGTCTGTACAAATATATTTAGATTAAAACCATTGTACTTTTGAAAATGTCTTTGGCCATAAACAGAGAATTGTCATTCATTTTCAGCAAAAATACCACGCAGTCAGATATGAAATCTATTGATATTACAAAACTATATACAATTGTATTAAAACAGTCGTAATTCTCGCAAACAAAGTTTCAATAATTGCTCAAATTCCACACTTAACTACTTTATAAACAATATACTTTCTACACTAACTACGATATGAACGTATGGATAGATAGAAAACACTGAATCCAGGTTCCTCAAATGGGGTTCTTAAAAATTTCACTTTCACATTTCTCATAAAGTACGAAGCACTATTTTGATGATCTATGGACATGATTTTGTTCCGGGGATTCTTTTCATGTCACACACGCCAAATCCAAACCCTTATCTCTTTGTTACAAGCTACGTCAACTGAAGCTGCTCCCCCGCTGCGTTAGCTCAAGGCTACTGCATGATTCTCACGGAGTTCAAGTTGCTGTAATTAAAGAGAAAGACGGAAATAACAATTAGCTTCTTACGCGGACAGCTGAGTACTCTGGGAGGATAGTAGAATACTGTTTCATTTAACTTTCTTGCCAATTTGGCTTCGAACTATTATATTTCGACTTACTCAAGCATGACGGTTAAAAAGTATCTGGGTGACAACTTGCACGATTACCAGCCGCTGTTCGGCAAATAAGCGCGCTTCATTACTCCTTCCCGGGACGAACACCGTGCAAATTGAGTATTAGGAAATAATTCCTTCACTAAGTAAGTCCTCTCCGTTTGCGGTTTACAACAATGACGTACAGGTTTCATCGATTACCTGCTCGTGTCAGGTTAGAAGCCCAACAGATCAAACACTACTTTTAATAAGATAGTCAAAGAATAATGAATTACCTTCAGGCGCATATTGTTGGTAGCTCCGCGGGCTCTTTGAGCTTTAGTTGACCTGCATGGGATCAATTACGGTTAGAATGACCATTCATTTCTATGGCTGTTAAACATGAAGCTTCGAGCATAAAAATCAAGTATAAATAGTAATCTTCAAAGTGTCGACCAGTCGGATTTTCGACTGAGTAATCCTGGGCTACTTTGGTTTTGCTTCCGTGATCGAAGAATCTTCCCTAAGCCAATCAGATGTGAAACTACAACGTTTGACGTCGAACGTTTTCCCGCACCTAGGATCATTCAACAACCATATTATCTTTTTCTCTTTACCCTTGCCCTGATTGACGGTTGAAATTACTTTGGGGGTTTCACGTCGAAAAACAATCTAGACTTGGCCTGATTAGGACTGGGCAATAGAGGAAGCCGAAAGTCATCCAGGATTGTTTTGGTTTTGCTTCCTGTGATTGGTCCACAAAACTCGCGCCGCCCTCTTAACCAATCAGACTCAAAATTAAAACCAATCACAACCTGATCACCCGCGTCTTCCCGCGCTTCTGGCAGTTTGCTTGTTTACGGGCCCTTTGAAACATTTTCATTCCCTGTCACTAGTCCTTACAATTACTTTGGTTTTGGTTCACGCTATCCCATCGGTAAGAGCTCTGAAGGGTGGTTTGTAACGAAGCTCACCTCATGAGCGCTGATGGCGATCCTGTAAACTTCTGGGACGAGCTAGACTGTTCGGCTGATATACTACTACTGGCTGGACTTGGTCGATAATTGACGGGCGCCGGGCCAGATATCACAGATAAATTCATTCCATTTTGAGGCTGCGGTGCCACTTTAAGCACGTTGGGAAACGCGTACATCGAACACATATACTGCTGTGCATTAACACCAGGCGACACTACTCCTGGACTGGAGAGATTGGTCTGTGACCCTGCCACGCCACCCGCTGCCAAAACGCGCGGATTCACCACGCGTGTTCCTTGAGTGGAATCACCACAAGTTTTAAGCCCTGTAGCGCTCAAAGACCGGCGTCTGAGCGAGGTGTTTGGTTGGTTATCGAGTCTAGGATCAATCAAACTATAAGCAAGGCTACTGGCCTCGATACCAGTCGTTGATCCTGATCTCCAGTCGTAATCTGGATTGCCGTTAACTGCTCTGCCACTTGTGGAAAGTTTTCTTGAGCCGTATCTGTGTTTGGGCAACCCCGTGGGAGCTGATGGTACTATACCGACTGACGCAAGAGCACGACGATCGTTTCGTGATAAAGTGGCTTGTTGATTGAGGGATTTCAAATTCATAACAGCAGACAGAGAGGCGGGTTGATAGGTCTGGAACCGAGACAACTGAGCTGCGACTGTATTGTTAACAGCGGCTACTGCTCCAGATGCTGACAGCAATCCCATAGAGCCATACATGGCCGAATGTTTGTCACCCAGGCTGCCTCCTATCTCACGGCCGCCAACAGAGCTACCTTTGGAAGACGAGTCTTTATAGGTGTTCTGAGAAGAAAAAGAGTGATGATTCAGTACTTCAAAATAGTTTCTGTCCACACCGGATGGTCTTGTTTGGTATAACAGATGTACCTTGTGGTTTTTTTTTCACCCGAGTAGCATACAGCAAAATACATGTCCATCTAACTGATGCCCCCACTCCTCCCGGGAGGGCACCTCTATATAATAGGATATACACGGACATTCCGCCGAAAGGGTTATAAATTTGAAGAGCCCATGTATGGATAAGGATGACGAGAATTGCAATTGATATACTTAAAAGGGAATAACAGAATATTTAAGGATTATCTCTAAAGATCCACGAATAAAAGTTAATGAGTATTTTCTACGAAAATCATTCCTTAAGTCTTTCCCTATCTCTTTTAACAAGGGTGCTACTTTTCCCTTCTGATGGTTTCGCTTGTAACTCACCGAGTGATGTAAAGAGCAGTTTTTCTGTGGCCCTCCAGTTCCGGGTGTGCAGTGTAACAGTTTGTACACAAACTCGACCACACCCAGCCCTCTTATCAGATTATCCCGCTGAAGAAGGGAAGTGATTCTCTCCAATTCTTCTTCCTCTGATATCGTCATTGGTTTGGTGGTGTCCGTTTGCTCCTGGCCGGTTCTTCTGCCAACCTGAATAAAAATTTGACGTGTCAGTGTTTCGCAGGGTGTTGTTGAAGTCTGTATTAGACTCAAGTGGCGCACTCAGCCGGAGCTTAACCGGGCGACTAAGCGTATCACTACTCCCGTCGGATGGAATGCTACTCCATCGCAAGATTATCAGCATTTCATCAAGCTTCCCTGAAAAATTGCCAGTACCCACTTGTGCTCCGGGTTGAGGGAGAGGCAATGTACGAGTTAAGTATTTACCCCAAAACACAGCCTATTCACCCGGTCAGGTCTCTAACCAGCGCACTAGCCATCACGCCACCGCGTTCCTTACAGAAAGATCTGTAACATAGTACTGCTTGTATATCTGAGGTAATAATATGAATGAACAAATTACGCGCGTCTCTTTTGCTGAAAACGAGTGCATTTTTCATGTAACACGAGTGCAAATTACAAAGATCGCGCGCTACCAAAATTTCGTCTGTCTTGACTTTCTGCGATGCGTTTTTCATGTAATTTATTAACAAGTAACAACATGCTTTCTCGTGCAATTTGGTGTAAATAAGCATTTGTAAATTTTTCAAAGACTACAAATTGCAAGCGCCCTAAGGGCTCGTGCAATTTTGTGAAAATTGTCCTTGAAAAATTTACTTGTGCTTGTTAACACCAAATTGCACTCGAAATCATCTTGTTACCTATACTATCAGCACTTCGACGACAAACCACCCTTGTAACTGTTCGTGCGTGCTTCGTTGAATTGAGCTCGAACACGCGAGATAAAAAGCAGCAACAACAATAACAACACACTTTTCCTTTTCCTGCATAGTAGTGACGGAAAGTTTGCTGGGGTAATAATAATCATTTATACTTGTCATTTACCTCAAATTTTGGTTTACCAGGTTGGACCATCTTCCTAACCGGAGGCCTTCTTGGCCTTCGACTATGAGGACTCTCTGGCCTAAGACCATCTTTGGATCCCTTGGGAGCCCTCCCACTGTTTTTGAGCCTTGCATTCTCCATTTCTTGTTGTTTGGCCATGATTTGTTCACGTTGAACCCTACAAACCAGGAGATGACACAAAATGAAGCAAAACATTTCTTCAAATACAAGTTTGTATAATATTTGAAAATAAAAGTTATTGACATATAGATGGAATTTAAACTTGTTGAAGTTCTTATGATATCATTACGCTTATAACTACTGTTGATGCTGTGATGTTTTCTTTTAACGTGTAGTTAGCTCAGATGTCTCTCGACTCCCGACAAGGCCCCGCGGCAATGTCAACCTCAAGACAAACACTTTGAACTCAGGATTGAACAGAGAGACCACCTCTTCTCTAGAAATGGTTCTTCAATGACAGAAAGATTTCATCATCAATCTAGGTTACAAATAATCTTAAGGACAAAATGAAGTTGTGGGAGAAATATGATCTGAAATTTTTAGTCATTCCAAAGGGAAAATGGGAGAGCAACTACATGCCATAAGTTGCACCAGTTTGCTAGAAGACAAAAGTTTCGCTTGCAAAACAGGTGGAATCAAGAGGTAAATTAGGGCCCAGTCTTTTGCATTATGCTGGTCGAGAGGCCTGGTGAGACGGTGAGAGTAAAGTATCTTATTCAAGATCACAGGACAGTGACTCAGTTATGTCTTGAATCCTACCATTAAAATGATGAGCGTAACAGAACATCTTACCTGGCACACTCTATTCGAGCCTTGGAGGCTGCCGTCTCTTGAAACAAAGAACAACTGTTCTCGAAATACACAGCATATTTTTCTTCATTTCCTTCAGGGTAAATACGTCTAAAGTAGAAAAAGGATAAAATGAAATTTTACATTTAGAATTTAATTTTGTAGATAATTATAAACACATTTAATTATAATACAATACACTTCCTACCTGTATTTACCCATGTGACTGTCTTCATACTTCTTCAACCACTCAATATACTGTGATTGGTTTTCAAAATCATCTCTCCTTGAAAAAAAAGAAAAAGAAGTTAATAATAAATGGTGAAGCTGGCGGTCACTGTAAAAACTTGCAGAAAATTATTTTGTACAAATCATATACTGTACATTTATAACTAACTGCCTCTGACATGAAGAATCTGTCTGAGAAAATTTGGTGTCTGAAAGTTCCTGATGTACATGTATTTATTGAAAAAATCTGGTGCCATAACCTGCCTTTAAATGTTTCAACCCTCTTAGAGTTATTGACATGTAACTTCTCCCTACAATATTCATACAACACCCACCAAACCGGTAATGAGAATACTCAAACTCATCAATTAACCCTTTAACTCACAGAAGTGATTGACATGTAACTTCTCCCTACAATATTCATACAACACCCACCAAACAGGTAATGAGAATACTCAAACTCATCAATTAACCCTTTAACTCACAGAAGTGATTAACATGTGACTTCTCCCTCTAATATCCACACATTATCCAGCATGCAGGTGAAAAGAATACGCAAACTTATCAGGTTAAAGTTGTTATCTTGATTTAACACCAAATTCTTGCAGCTATTCTTAAAGGAAATGTATGGCTGCCGCAGTTAGAGAGGAGAATTAACAATCAGATCCTTGGGAGTTAAAGGGTTAAAAGTTGTTATCTTAATCTACATGTAATAGCATATTTTTGTAACTTTTTAGAAGGAAATATGTAGCCCGTAGGGAGGAGATTAACAACCAGATCTTGGAAGTTAAAGGGATAAGCAGATGTTACAAAAAAGATTAGTCAATTATTTACGGTTCACTTGCATTAGTGTTAAAAAAAAAACTGTTCAACATACTTGTTCTCTTTAGGCCTCTGTTTCTGTAGAAGTCTGTCCCGTACTCTCTTTTTGTCTTCCTCGAGTATCTTGCGGCGATCACATGCCCCAAAATTAAGAAGAGTGAGGGCATCCAACATCAGTCCCTCTTTGATTTCTTTATCAAGGGGTGAGTCAGTGGTAAAACTTGGGGAATGGTTTACCTGAAAATCAATAAATTACAAAATAATGTTTATGACATGTCCTGTGGTTTAAAAATTCCTCTGGGTTAAAATCGGTTAAACAAATGTTACTTTGATTTAACTTTGTCTGAGTGGTTTAAAAACATCAAGGTAAAGTTGAATCACATTAAATACAGCATGCTCAGTACCATCCATTTCTCTTCATAAACATCTTTCTTAATTGGTATTCTTACCTCTAAAACCCAAGCTTTCAACTTTTTATCAAGCAGAATATCAAAGCCTAGGATTTCAAAACAAGCACTGCCCTTGTTGTGGTTTGGAAAACAGGTCCTGTAGTTGTGTTTCAGTATTGGATGGGCTGTGATTAAAGTTTTAATAATAGCATCCTAATAACAAATTGAAACAAAAACAGTCAATTTAAGATAAAATAAATCATAATCAAATGAAACTCACTACATGAAAGTTTGCAAGCTTAAATAGCACAATACCACATGATGTAAAGTAAAATGCATGTGGTCTGTTATCCAAGTTCAATCCCAATATCTCATTAGTAATTCTCCTCACTGTCTGCCATACAATTCTTATGATGTTAGTTCTGGGAATTTGGTATTGGATCAACTAACAATCCCCTAATTGTTTTTTATTCTTTTTACTTGTCTCCTTGATGTTGAGGTAATATTCAAAGGAGAAATTCTGTCTTAGTCACTCATAGCAGTTTAAAGGTTTTAAAAAGTTTCTTTAGTTAATCTTCCCTTCTCAATGTAGGTGGATTATGGGAATCTGTATCAGTCGCCAGTATTCCCCACTGAGAAGTTGTTTTGCAAAGTTGAATGCAGTGATGGTAACAAATAAGAAACTGGGCTCTTAAACTCTCTTGTGATGTCAAGCTTGTACTCATGGCATTACATATTGCAAATAAAGCTAGCAGATTAACTGAAATTATGCCATGTGTCTAGCAGTGTTACTGATGCTCATCATTTCCTTTCGAATGTCATATATCATTTAAAAAGCAACTTTTCCTTTGAGCACATATATATGATCCAATCCCATGTTTACACATTGATACCTTTGTGAGCTTACATGTACACAGGTGGACCTTATTTTTCAGTCATGATCCACTCCTACAAGATATCAAAATATTTCTTACCTCTATTGATGCCCAGATTTCTTTGACATCATAACCATTGTCTGTAAACCACCTGTTTACTGTTGTTATCCGTCTGAAATGAAATAAATCATTCAGTATTAAATAATTTGTAATATCACTAATAGGATAACAGAACAATGTTTTGAAAATCACATGCACACACACCTTGCCTAAACAGTTTAACAACCTGTATTCACATAACTTTAAAAATTATTCAACAACTAATTTCAGGTTCATTTGCCAGTCACATTAAAATACTAAAAGTGCAAACACACCTTTTGCTCCCAGTTTCTTCATCTCTGATAAAATCTTTGCTGTGTTTGTTTACAGCATAGTTTGTAAGGTGCATGCAAGTGTCATCCTAAAAAAAAGGATTGACATGCTTTGTTACTAAAAAATGTTAACAACAGCATAAAGTCTCCTTACAATGTAAAATACAATTAGTTTTATCAATAACAGGATTTATGGAAAATTTGGATATTTCAAGACATTCTCCAAAACATGGTTTTCATTTAATACACTTGAACTTTTTATCAATGACATGCCTCCCAAAAATTAAAAATTATCTGATTGCAATTACCAAAGATATACCAACCAGCAATTATTAGCAGCCAATGCAGCTTGGAAAAGACTGCCACCTTATTCCCATCTTTTTAAGATTCTCCACATCTTGAAAATCAGTTTGTAAATTTATTTTGCAACTCTTTCAAGAGTTTAATATACATTTTAAATATCACTGCTATAATAGACTCAATTTCTGCCCCCTAGGCTATCCGGTTCCATTCAATTACAATTATACAGTCATGTATTCCACCTGGGAAACATTTTATATTTGTTGCAGAATACCTTTGAATCATGCAAGGCTACACTATCCCAGGTGTACCAGCAGTCACAATTATAATGGAAACTTTAGGTCAATTATATAATTAAGACTTACTAGCAATTCTAATTTCCCTTCACTATATCACCCCTGAATCCCAAATTAAGGTCATGAGAGTGGAGGAAATGTGACCAATTCAAGAAGCTCTTGATTCTTAACCATACATATTAAATAAATGTATATACTGTACAGTAAAGGGTTCCAACAATTTTGAGAAATATTTTTTTCTGCACTCACCACATTGTGGTTACTTGGTTCCATGTACTTTAAAGTAGCAAATCTTCCCAGGCCATCCTCATAAACAAATATTCTCAGAGGATCACAAGATGTAACCAGCACATACACCCTCAGATCAAACTTAAATCCATCGATAAGAAAAGGCTTGGAAACATACTGCTGACAAACCATGTGTTCACCTGGCTTAATATCCTGTTGACCAGTATAAAAGAACAACTAATAAATGCTAAATTAATACTATTTATGGGACACCTTTCACTTGTACTGCATTGGCATGCAATTAACATCCAAATGTACTAAACTGGTGACTAAGCTGCATCAAGAGAAATTTCACCTTTGTATTTAATGACAAAAGCCAAAAATTTACTACACAGCAGAAAAGCCTTTTGGGAATTAGCCATTTTTTTTTGTTAGGAACTAATTATTACAGCTTGCAATGTCTGATAGTTCTGCTGGAAAGCGATTTTTGTAATTTTTCAGTTCAAGATACAGAACACTGATATTTTCATTTTCAGATCAACTATCAAATATCAATGCATCCATGATATTAAAAAAATCTAAATGTAAATTCATTGAGGTGGTACAGTGAAAAAGCTCTTCAAAAAAGCACAAAACCATGTTGTGACTTTAAGACAATTATAGAATCTTCACAGTGCACAGTAAACTTAAGATATTGTATCTGAGTAAAAAAAGGAGAACTCTTTTTTTTTTTAAATAGTTTGGTCCCACCTATTGTTACTAGAAACAAACTGACTTTAACTTTCAGGCTTGAGTTAGAACTGACCTTTGGATTCTTTGTCAGGAAAATACCCTTTCCTTGGCTACCACTATCTGGTTTGAGAATAAATGTTTTATTCTTCTTCTGTCGACAGTAGGCTTGCAATTCTCCATAACTGAAGGTCAATGAAAAGAAAATACCATTACTTAAGCCAACCAGTATTAATTTTCAAGCCATCATTTCATCACAGTCAGTGATCAAGACTGCAGTCTGAGCTTATGCACAAATTGAAGCCAGTAATGTGAAAAAACTCAGGCTTACATGTAAATGAGGGCATAGAAAGGTCATTAGTACATGTAATGTACTCTCCCAAACACTGGTTGGGCACTGCTAAATGATACAGCTAAAAAGGATATTGAATATTAGGCTCATCTTCTTAACTATCTCAACTTTTCCTTGTGCTCCACATGGAAATACAAAAAAATTACAGGTAAAAAGGGGTATTCAGGAGAATTTATAGGGTTTTTTTTCATGAACCAAGGCTTTCATGGAGGGTCACACAAAAAGATTTATTTTGCATATCTCTTTGTTATTGTGTGTTCTTTCAATAAATGTGTTCCTTGTGAGCCAACTTAACTACAATATGCCAAGAAAAATGCTCTGCTGATTGAAAATTCTGCTAGAAATACTGATGATTCAGAGTCTAAATTGAACATGATATGCTTGTGAAAATTAAGTAACTGCTAATAATTCACAAACTCTTACAGCTGAGCTACATTTACTTTGTCCTTTTAGATAAAAAGGGAAGAACAAGTCACTTACTCTGCTGGCAAGCACCATGTTTTAGGAAACACAGCATACTCCTTGGGAAACTGTTTCCATAAACGGTTCATGTTTCTTGCCAGAAGATCCTTGCGACAAATCTCACTCATACCAGGAAAATGATTTATTTTCTGTTTAAAAGTTGAGAAGAGAGTGGGAATTAGTAAATCTTTTAGATAATTATTTACAAGGTGAAGGTGACTCAATTGAGAAGAGGGAAAAGGGAGAGAAAGCAATTACTAATAGATATATCACTCCAACTACATACTGATGACACTAGATTTATCAGGTAAAGGTTGAATCTACTCTCTCCCCTCATGAGTGATACTAAAAACCACTTGTAAATTGATTTCCGCAGTATCAAGTAACTGCAAGTATAGTTTCCACCCCCGAATGGGATGTCAGCTCATCACAAAAGTTACCTCTTAGCCTTTCTTCATTACTCTCAAATGGAAGAGGGGCAATACAAAAGTTTACTTATATTAGTTTCTTTCCAGGCAAATGGTTAAACCCACACCTACATGTGTCCATCTGTAGCTCAACATCCTTTTCACTAAGCCATTACAGCTCCCACGATTGTATTTGGTTTTAGCTCATGATTTCACAGGGTTTAGGCAAAATATCACGTTACTAGTGCTTTTAACACTAATCATATTGTACTAAAATTAATACTTTATCGTTGTTTTGTCAAACCTTTCTAGTAATAGCAGGTAATTTAGTGTTAACGACTGAGTTGAAAACGTAAATTAGCCACCGTAAAGGGTAAAAAAGCTGACGCTCTGACGAAGGGCTAACGCTCGAAACATCAGCTTTTCTACCCTTTACGGTGGCTAATTTACGTTTTCAATTCAGTTGTTAACACTACATTACCTGCTATACTCTCCCACCGACGCAGCACCATAGTTTCTTTAGAAACTTACCCCTTCTTTCTAGTAATAATCCTAAATAAACAGTTCAGAAATAACACTTTCTTGTGGGTCAAGGTCTCGATTCCAAATAGAAGATATTTAATAGAAGCAACTTCCTATTGTTTACACATCATGTCAACAAACGGCGATGTACTAAAGAGTGTACGTGTTTTAAAGCATTAAGCATTAATTTTGCCGGCAAGACGATCATTAAGAATAGATACACATCTCTGCTTTTCCCTTTCTTTGCATGAATTTCCGATACAAATGTTGTGAAACAAGAAATCACAAGGTCGCTGACAACAAGGGTACCATTAAACGCACTTAAAACATCTTTTATGATTAAGGGCGACATTTTACAAGATAAAACTTTGCTTCCATCAAAGACATTCCAACCTCCAAAATGTACCATGTTAGCAAGGAACTCCAGTTTGTAAGAGGTATAGTTTCCTCAATGCCTCACGCTGCAAAAAGCCTATTGCTGTAGCTGCATTTTCATGTTCAATATCAAATAAACAATGGAGTATAAGAACTAATCATTGCATGAACAATAGAGGTACGCGAGGCTGAAGCTTGCCCGTAATTTACTTGCAATAAATTTCGAAGCTTAAGACATAGAAATATCGATAATTTATTTTATTATCCGTTTATTTAATACGTACCTGGTAACGTTTCATGTCCATACAACGTTCCAAAGCAACAGAGCAATCTGTCCAGAACAAAGCCCAATCTTCATCTTCACCAACCTCCTTCATGCCAAATCGTTTCGATACCCTGCGAACTGTTCAAAAGAAAATTAAGATGATCAATTAGGGCACAGAAAACGTGGACAAGATCTCGATTAATCAAAGGAAAGAGGTGCTGATTGTATTTCCAACACGAAGATACTTACCACTTTCATACTTGCAGTTAGTCAAGCACACATTCATCCATCTGAAAAACATAAACGCATTTATTAACAAAACAATATTCGCTGGCGATGAGCGTGCAAAGAAACCTCTTAGAATTTATCTCTGAGTATTATCCTTATTTAAATATGTTTCTCACTTTTTCTTCTTCTTCTTGGCCTTTGATTTCTTAGGAGTAGCGGCTCGATCGTCTGATGTCGTTCCAGTAACGGGTTCCCGAACATCTTCCCCACCGCTATCTTCGCCTTCACATTCGCTCTCTCCCCGAAGGCTCAAATCGCTCTCGTTGTCACTGATTTCACCCTCAAGTTCATTATCAGCCATAACAAACTGCTATGCTCCTTTTAAAATCGAATTCAGTTGAACTAAATGATGTAAACGCCTTTAGATCCACAGCTCTTTGGAAGCCATAATACTTTGTCGTTTAGTTTATGTCGGATAGCAACTATCGCACTTTCTGATTGGTTTTTCCGTTGCTATGAAACTCTAAGGGCTTTCAATAGACCAGCGGTTTCAAATTTCCTAGTATCCAGACCCCCTACACCGAGAAATCTCGATCTTGTAATGCCAAAACGAACTTTATTTTTATGCTCAAAAGGGAAATTTAAGCTCGTCTACTGAGGTCCTATCGAACTAGCGCAGTTGACCAGGCTGTTAAAGTCTTGAAGCTTTACCAATTTCAGCCTTTAACCAATTTTAATTTGAAGATTGCAAGACGTGGGGCGAAGGGAACTTTCATGGGCTAATATTTCGACTAGCGCTACAGACTTTGACTTCCGTTCGGCCAAAGCTTCATGGAAGGATATCACGGCTTTAAAATAAAACATAAACAACAGCTGTTATTGTTTTTGAAACAGTATACGCGACAGAAATGTTGAAACAGTCACGATGATCACGACGAAAAGAAAAAAAACTATAACAACAATAAAATGACTGAATGTATAAAAGATACAATAAATAAAGTATATTTGCTAAAACGGTGTAGGATTTTTTTTAATGATATTTTTGTTCTATAGGTTAATTATACCGTAACTGTTAATAAATGTTTTTTGAAATTAGAAAATAGTCATGATTTACCTTGCACTATGGCCGGTTTCTGATCACACTTTCTGATATTTTTCTTCATCTTACCACAGCTGTACGAGCGTCCGATTCTGGTCGAATAATAAGCGGTCAGGAAGGGAAAGCCGTGTGAAACGTCGATTAAAAACAATTTCGCAGATGGCTGGATGTGCTAACCGTTTGAAACGGCGCCAGATCTCAACTCCAGCATGATACATGTACGCAGACTGGCAGACTGAGGTAAATAACTCGCCGTCGGGGTTCCCATTCTCAGATCACGACAATTTTGGTGACTTCGCGTAATAACTGATTCGAAGAGGACGGCTAGAAAATGTTCTTACCGTCAAATCTCTTCTTCTACCACGTTCTGAGGTCTTTAGTATTTTTTTTCCACGCGTGACCAATTGGTTCACGCGCTAGTCTGATAGCTGTCGTCTATTGGTCGAGAATTTTTAGTTGCTAGTTAAAAATAGAATGCACGTAATGCATTCAAGTTTCTCTGTAATGCAAACACTAAGGTGGCCGGCTTTGTGTCAATGGAGGCACTTCTGGAAAACCTCGTCGAACATGTTACATGTCCGATTTGCTTGGATACCTACACGGACCCAAAGACTATAGCTTGTTTTCATACCTTCTGCTGTGAATGCTTGAAAAGACATGCTCTGGCAACTCAAAAACAGGGGCGCTATCGATGCCCCGAGTGCCAAGCAGACCTTGACATCCCCGAAGGAAATCGTTTCACCGATTTGCCAAGCAGTTTTCAACACAATAACTTATTGAATCTTCTTGCTGTTCGACGAAATAGCGAAGGAAGTGCGGTAGATTGTAGTATATGTCGGAAAAACAGCGCCGAAACGAGCTACTGCTTTGATTGCCAGAAATTTATGTGCTGTGATTGCGTTAAAGCTCATGAATTGTTCCGCACAACTGCGTTTCAAGGGCACAAAGTGACGCTTTTGAAACAGTTTAAAACTGAAGACTACGAAGCCTTGTTAAGACGGCCGTCATTTTGCTCGCAGAAGCAGCACGAGCGAGAAGTAATGAAGTTTTACTGTCTTGATTGTCAAAGCTGTATTTGTCAAATTTGTAACGACACGGATCACAGAAGCCATGATGTCGTGCCGCTTGACGAGGCAGCAGACGCCGAAAAAGCCAAAATCATGTCCGAAGTTGAGGCGATGAAAAAAGGAAAAGAGGCTTGCACTGAAATTCTTCAACAAATGGAGAAGAATAAACAAGACTTCGAAACTAGCATAGCTGCTGCGAAACAGCAAGTTTCGCAAGCAACGGAAAAAATGATCGCGAGGGTTAAAGCACTCGAGAGTGAAGCCATGACATCCCTCGAGAATACGCGCGCGTCGAGGATGGAGAAACTGACTTCAGCAAGGGAATCTGCCCAGTCTTTGGTCAGGCAAATAAACCAAACAGTTGAGTTCGGTAACGACTTGCAGCAGAGAAGACCAACCTCAGACGTCGAACAAAGCAAAAAGTATCTGGAAGAGCGATTAAAAGAGCTTAGTCAAACCCAAGTACCAACAGTTTCCGTCAGTCCGTTTGTTCAATTTGTTCCAGCATGGTCACCTGAAGATTTGAGCCTTGGATTCGCAACAATCAATATAGATGGAAATGAATCAACGTTGGAAAGCCAAAGTTTCCACGCTGGTGAAGAAGCAGTGATATCGATTTATCCCGAACTGCAAAAAGGTAAATTCAGAAATAAAAAGCACAAAGCTCAGGCTGAAGCTCACATAGAGCCCGCTGAGCAGATAGCTGAGGGAAGCCTGAAAATCTGTGAAAAAGAAAACGGAACTTTTCAAGTTAAATTTGTAGCGAAATTTCCAGGTACCTATAAAGTCAACGTTATAATAAACGGCGAAACCCTTACTCAATGCCCTCTCACCGTGTTGGTAATGGAACCGGGAAAGACAAGTTGACTTTTGACGCGAACTAAGAAAAAAAAATTCGCGCACGGATAAAGATTGTTACGACTTTCAAGCTTTTGAAAGGTGCCATCGGTGCGACTCAAGTTAAAATTTGGTAAAATTAAATTTATGTGTAGAGAAAGATTGGCTAGAAAGTTCGTTTTCATGGAGACCGTGATTATCTTCAGTTGTTGAACTGCCTGCCAATTAATATCAGTAACCTTGTAACCTGGCTATATTAACACAACTTGGTCACATGACCTTCTCAATCTTAAAAAAAATGGTCGTGGTGTGAAATAGATATCGGAAAAATAGAGAGATTGACGAAATTTGTTGAATTTCGATTTCGAAGTCACTGTCGTCAAAGCTTAAGATTTTACGTTAACTTTCAAAAGAACAACAAATTTTTTTTTTAAATTTCCAAAAAACTTTCGAACTAAAATTGCGCACTTGAATGCCTGAGAAATGAGATCTGTACAATTTTCATCATTCCCTTTCCATTTTTGTTATCATCTTCGTACCATTATTACGCGATCATAAATATAATTGACACAAGGTAAAGAAACTGTGTTGTATTTATCAAGAGCCACGTGCCGCTGTTCAGGAAACCGTGAGCCCGCGTTCGTCGCCTCTTCCTAATGAATACAAGCTTGGAGCCACGGACCGTGTTAATTGTTTCTCAAATACATACGTATACGTAGATTAGTGTTATAAATCAATAACTCGCATTCATTATCGCTCTCAGAAACTTGGCCATGTTATAATAAAATTTTGCTCTTGGTTGATGTCCCTAAATTTGAGTAGTTGATTGGCGCACGCAAACTTTTAAGCAATCTTAGCCATGTCTAGTGTCTTTCTGATCGATTTGTGACCGAAAGTACACGAGTAAGCAGCTTTTCAATGAAGAGTGGTACGCAAAATCATTTCGCGAGGCGTGATCCTGATGAAACGATTAAACATATAAAAACCTAATTTTCCAATATTTTACCGATTCTGTTTTGTGCTGCTATTTCGATAATTTCCCTAAAAAAACAGGAGAGGAGAAAATAGACATTTCGCGTACCCACACTTCAAAATTTTCGATCGAAGAGCGTAGATCTTTCTTTACCTACTTCCGCTGCTCCGCCGCCCATGTTAAAGAGCTACATGACCACTCCACACATACAAGAGAGTATGTTCTTTTGCAGCCCACTCGTGGCAGCTTGAATGTATCGGCAATCTTTCTGGCTACATTTGGAAAAAATATCTATCAAGAGGAAACAAAGGGACCTTATTTTCTCTTGTAACTATATAGTCTTTAAAGACCTGTGAAAGTAAACAGGAAGAAGTACTGTGGCTCTCCCTCCTAAAATCTTAGAGGGAAATTTACCAACATCAAGAAGGTACGATATACATTGAGGCTAAGGTCCTTTGATTATTAGAAAGGCATAGCGAGGAAAGCCGTGCAGCACGTCTGTGCTGTTGGCTAAATTGCGTTTCACTTTCAATGCAATTCCTGAGTGGAATGTGGATCCCGTGCAAAAACTGTAGATAGACATAAACACGATGTTAAACTTTGAGGTTTGTATCAAGTTAATTTTTTTGCTCAAAATTCTCTTCAGCGCGAACATCGAACTCAACTTTCGAGCGTTAAAGAAAGGGCTAATAGTTTTTTAAGCGCTGAACTGTTTAAGCGATGATATTAAAAACTACTCAAGATGCTTACTTATGACGCAGAACTATGTATTCTTCGATTAATAATTGTCGAATCGATTACATTTTCAAATTAAAAACAGTATCATCCTTATTATTTAGAAACAGTTGGTGAAAGTCTGTTTTGCCATCGAAACAGGAAGAAGTTTCGATTCTAGATGATCTAAGAGTATATTGGCTGTCCGCTTAAAGGTATTTAGCTCAATTTTTATAAAATACATCCTTTGTAAATTAATTTGATTTAAAGCTCATTAATAGATCATAACAGGTGCGCGCAATGCAGTAGGCTCAGTTTGAGCGCTCATTGTATATTACTGCTTAATAATGGACTTTCAATATAACTATTGTCTACTCTGTGTAGTGAACCCTTCAACTCCCATGAGTGACCGAGACAGAATTTCTCTTTACAAAATGAAAACAATATCAAGCACACGAGTGATGAGAACAAAGATAAAATATCAATTAGTTGTTTATTAGTTGATCCAATACCAAATGCTCTGAGCTAACATCACACGATTTATATGGCAGACAGGGAGGAGAATTACTAATGAGATATTGGGAGTTAAAGTGTTTAGTTAGTACAGTTTCCCTTATCTAAGATTGCCTATTACATACGATCAAGGTGGCAAAAGGTGTTTTAACTGTGATAGTCATCTAAAGATAACGGTGAGTGTGTAGTAACCGAAGAGAAATGCTTATTCCCTATTCTAAATACAACGCCTAAAACGCCTCAGGGTTATGACTCAAGCAGACCATTCTGAAATCACGCTCGACATGTTAGAAATCAAGCATACCTTGTTTTCAATATAGCGTTCATTTATTATTAAACAGAAATATTTAAGGCGTACCTTGTATAACTTTGGATCTTTTAACCAATCTTTAAGTGTCTTTGGACGTTTTCTCTCATTGGGAGTCTTGCATGGAACAGGAAGATCTCTCGTTCCGTCATTCTCTACTTCATCAACTTCCTTACATGGTTCGAATCCTTTATTATCTGTTCCATGGGTTTCAAGGTTATCTTGACTTCTTTCCAACGAAATTGTAGTCTGCGTCTTGTCCGACTCATTGGGGTTCAATCTGAGTTGTTTTTCATTTAGGACAGGATGTCTTGAAGCATCACCTACGCACTCGTCAGCCTTCTTGCGTTCTTCATCTTCATGAGGAAAACTAACTTTTTTCTTGTGTGGTTTTGAAATGACTCCATGTCTCCTTGCCTTAGACGTGGCCAAAACAGGACTTACTGCAATCTCTTCAGTCTGGTCTTTTTGATAAACTCCTTGCTCCTCATCTTTGTAATGGTTGTTTATGTCAAAATCCAATTTTTCGTCATCCTCCCATTCCGCTTCCCCTTCTGAATCCTCCGATGTTTCTTCGCCATTTCCAACTGCATCTAAACTACCTGATACAGGTTGCTCTCCACATTCTTTGGGCTGGTCGTTCTCCAGTCTAGCAAATACTCCATCGAACACACGCATGACAAGACTCTTTTTACGATCACGGTCTAAATTTTTTACTCTTGCGGCTATGTACGGATTTATGTCCAGGTCCAGTGAAATTTAAGTTGTTTTTGCACTGTTATTTTCCAACTGATCGTTGCTAGCGTCGCTTTCATCTTCGTTGAAAACAGCTTGTAAAAACCTCTGTATCATACTTCTTTTTCTCTCGTGCGATGGACGATTTGAAGTTTCGTTACCTCCCTCGTGCTCAGTTTGTTCGAAAGTTGACGAAGTCACGTTAAGTCAACAAGTAAATGGGAAAGACTGTTCTTTCTAGAGTGTTGAGAAATAGTTAGAAAAACCAGAGAAATGTTAGAATACCCACAACTTGGAAATAAGGTCAGGAGGGGATTTAACAGATCGATTATGGTTCAGCGTGGTCTTAACTCTTGTTGACGACGTTGTTCGTCATCGTCGTGGTCAAAGTGTTGTAAACTAACGAGGCGCAGCCGATTAAGTCTGCCAACAAATTTTGACCCTTGTTATGGCAAATATCATTGCGGATAAGCGTGCAGACCACGCCAAGCCACTGTTGATTTTTTTTCTACCACAATATCGACCTCAAAATTTCCGGAAGCTAATAAGGCATTGCATGATACGTTGACGTGAGCGGCGTTTTCTGCACTCTCATCGACGACGGCAAAATGGCCAATCAGATTGCGACATGACGGCCAACTGTGGTAAAAAGTTTCATTCCAATGATTAAACTGTGTTACGTTAAGCACCCTTAACAGAATTTTTATAAAGGGGGGGGGGGGGATCTTCTTTCCGCTTCTTTAGGTTGATATAGAACTTTTTTTTTCACATAGTCTAAACTCACCCGCGGGCGACAGTTTCGCAATCTCGGAACGTAGCGGGAGGGCTTGTTACTTTTAGTAGAACTAAGTATAGTGTCAATGTTTAGTTCATGTATCAGTACATAACTTGGCCGGTTATGGACTCGCTAGTAATATAGTTTTTTTTTACTTCCGAGTCAACGTACTTTCATGGCCTCCATACGACGGCGGGAACACCACAGGAATATTCTGCTAAGAGACAAGTATGCAAAGTTTTAACAAAACTTCCCCACTTCCATTGGCATAATTATTGCCCCGTGTTCCAACCAACTTTGCTAAGGCGCCATCCGTAGGGATTCATTCGAACAACAATTACAGCATACCATTAAAAATATGGAATCAAGCATCTAACACAGTTCAAATGTCGCCAATTATGTTATAATTAGTAGAAAAGTGCAGATCTAGGGGAAGAAATGAAGGTCTCCTCTGGGGCCTTATCAAAAAAAAGATTCACGAAGTTCTGGGGGAAGTTTTAAATTTCACATGTCTTAGTATGCGATTTATTGTTCATGGTACTTTTCTTTCGCGCCAGCGTTGTACGATAATATAGATAAGCCACTTCCGACTTTTCCGACCTACCATCACGTCCAAATATGTGCTTCGTGTTCTTGAACGACTCTTCGGCTCTTTTGAACCGGCGTAAAAATGACTGCAAAGATGAGACCAGACCCTGTTGCAATCCAAGAAATTTTCTGTAAAGTTAACAAATTGTATCAAATTGTCATTCTCAAGAAAGGGTGAACTGAAATGTACTGAATGTTAACTAAATGGCATGGTATTGAAATTTCTAAGGAATAGCGAAGTGTAGTGGTAGAATTAGTAGTAGTAGTAGTAATAGTAGTAGTAGGAGTAGTAATAGTAGTAGTAGTGGTAGTAGTAGTAGTAATAGTAGTAGTAGTAGTAATAGTAGTAGTAGTAGTAGTAGTAGTAGTAGTACTAGTAGTAATAGTAGTAGTATTAGTAGTAGTAGTAGTAGTAGTAATGGTAGTAATAATAATAATAATAAGGACTTTATTTATAGAGGGGGACACGTAACAGCTGAAAAGCTGACAAACCTGTGGCCCTCTAACTAGATTATACAGCATTACAAAATAATACTAATAAATAGATAAATATACAAATAATTACAAAATTCTATGATAGAAATAGCAGGATATATTAAAAATATTCAGAAAGATAAAATTAATTTATAAAAAATTAATTAAAATTAGATAATGTGCTATTGCTTAATATTGTTTCAAAGTTGTCCAGGTTTCTATATGAGCTTATAAAATACTTTTTCACAGCTGTTTTGAATAGTTTTATACTAGGCTTATTTTTGATATTATGGGGAAGGCTGTTCCATAACT